CACATATTATAAAACCTGTCTCTGAAGTGTTTGGCTCCAAATACCAAACAGATCATTGCAGCATTACCCATAATCCCCTCTGTTTCAGCCCTGTTTAAAAAGTGCTGATTCTCTGGCCGTTTCTCAATCGCGAGGATGCTGGCTTGGTAGTCGCGTACTTCCAAGTCACTTCCTTCAGAAACGAAGCAAGTATGCTTCCAAGCCACGGCTTCGGAAAACGAAGAATAATGGAACAGGCTAACAAGTGTGCCAGGTGTGCGTCATATGAGAGGCCCCGCATTACATTTTCCGCTACTGATTTGGGGAAATTGGTCCGTGCGCAAAGCATTGTGGGGATTTTAAGGACGCGAAGTCTACCCATGTGCAGCCTCGAAATTTCTCCCAAACCAAGGACGCGGCCTCGGTGGAATTCCAAGTATGCTGGACATTGGAACGGTCCTGCTGCGCCACTTGATGACGTAGCATCCTTGAAATATTGGCTTGGAAGCCAATGTCCTCGCGATTGAGAAACGGCCTCTGTCTGTTACTTTAGATGAAAATAAGGAGCCCCTCCCCACGCCCCTCTGAGAGAGATTTGATTAAAAAGAACACAATGGTGCTCTAGGAGGAGATTCAGGTGATAAGGGGGGGGGGGGGGTTACCTTGGTTGCTGATTGGCTAATGGTTACACAAGACAAAACATCGTTATAACATCATAAAGTGGCCAAAATCTGATCAGCTCATTTTCAGACAGGTTTTTATATAAATGGATCAGGAGAAAAAGTGAGAGAATCTTTGTTCCTGAAACTTTCAGAGTCTCTTTCCACAGAGGGGACACATGTTGATGTAGAAGAGACATGAAGAAGAGGGGACACATGTTGATGTAGAAGAGACATGAAGAAGAGGGGACACATGTTGATGTAGAAGAGACGTGAAAAAGAGGGGACACATGTTGATGTAGAAGAGACATGAAGAAGAGGGGACACATGTTGATGTAGAAGAGACATGAAGAAGTGGATTTTGCATAATAGGTGACCTTTACATATTTATTTCACACAAATTCTGTGTTTTGTATTTAATAATTCTGTGTTCTTAATTTATTAAATGTTAAATACCTGACTAGGTCTGAAATCAGTGGGCGGAACCTCCAAAATTCAGTCACTGTACACAGAAGATTATTTTTGTGGGGACTTCCCCCCCTTCATATCGTGTCCCTCACGTTTTCCTCTTCCCTTTTTTGTGAATGTGTTCCACGTGAGAGTAGTCAGTGTGAGGGGAAAGCAATTTAATAACGATTGGTTTGTTGTATATCTGTTGTCAGTCAGTGAATAAACGGAGATCGGCTCGGGTCTCATCCTTCAACAAGATAAACACAACGCAGACACCGCAAATCGACACCGGTTACATCCTGTATGCTCAATAACATGTGATCTTCATGGAGACATTCAATATGTCCGTCTGCAGTATAAACTCTTCTCACCGTGTGTGTTTGTTTTAGACCATCTGTATCAAATGAAACTGAAATTGCTTTGCTTACTCTGGAGCAACCGAGGTTATGAGACTCTGCTGCAAAGTATGTGTGAATATCTTTTACTTAGGTTTGGAATATTAGACGACATTCTGGCAGTAGGCATTCGAGTAGCTGCCACATGTAAGGTCTCTGTGTTTTCTATGCTAGTTATCACTGAAAAAAGGGTCTTTGGTTTTAGCTCAATATTTGTCTTTGTTAATGTTCTAAATAGAGCTGCTGTGATGCACCGTCTTGCATTCAACACATTTTCGTATAAAACTTTTCATATACCACTCGGTTTTCACTTCAGATCTGACCTCAAGCTTGAATAGCACTAAAACAGCAATAGCAGTGCTTCTAGCCCACAGACACATTAGCAATCCAGCAAGTCATGAATATGGAACATTTAAAAAAGAATAACCGAGCCTCTTCACTCCAGCTTGACCTTCAACAATTCTCCTGCAGCCACTCTGGCCTCAGCACATTAATAACAAACAACAATAGTTTGAGTTTCTCCACATAATATAGCAAATGAAATGTTAAATGTGTCCTTCAGGAGGTTTTAAACACTCATATCATTAGAAAACGTACTGCTGATTATTGCCGTGCAGTATTCGCTGAAATCAATGCATTTGTTTATTTCCTCAGAGAGATCAGAGCTCAGGGGCATTTTAGTGTTAACCCTGCAAAACTGGAGGCAGCTATTAAGTTGAACTGCATTTTAATGGGCAGAAACACTTTTGATATGTGCATACTGCCCCCTTATACTTCATTCCAACAGCTAGAGATATTGAATAGTATCAACACGTATCAATAAAAGACAACACATACATGTTAGCAGATACTAATGTTGGTTTCAGACATTATTGCTCAGACACACAGCCATGGCATTGTAAGATGTTCTTATCGTAATGGCATATCGTGCTTAATTCTAGCACTAAAAGACAAGTTATTTGTGATAAGCGTGACTCCCAATGTCTCCACACTCCAAGAAATGTACAACAGTAAGACCTCTGATTATTTTAGCTTTGTTAATCCTACATTGATATCCATATTCAGGTCAACACTTTCTGTTGATTTTGCAGGTTTTTTGGTAGAGTTTTAACATAAAACGTTTGCAGGAGGTGTAGAGTTTCGATGACTGCATTCTAACAATATCTTATTGTGTGTATTTTAAATAATATGTACCAGCTTTTGTTTAGTGTAGCTGCTTGTGATTGGGTATAAACATGTAGAAGCGATCGAATGAATCAACGGCATGCAAAACAACGTGTTTCTGCTTGACATTTTTCAAATAAAACCTGTGTAGTCATAAACGCAGCATTGTGGACTTAAAGTGGACCTATCATGCTATATTTGAATAATATAGTGTAGGACCATACCTACTGTATATAAGGCATATTTATACTTTTTTCAAAATACCAAACAGATCATGTATTTTAGCCATGCCTCATTTCGCTCAATTTGACATTTTTTAGCTCTGTTTTTGCAAGGGCAGATTCAGTGAGAACAGCACCATCTACAGGCCTGGCATATGTACTACAGCGTCTCCAGCGCTTTCGAACGGCAATGGCCGTGGCTGTCTCCTCCTGATTGGTGGAGTTGGCCCAATAGCCGTAGCGCCACTGTCCTGACAAATCTGGATCAGTTTTTATCAGATCCGTTGCAGCCCCTTTTTTAGAGATTTGGGTATGGAGGAAAATAGAGAGGGTTGTGTTTTCTGACACTTGGTGAGTTCCCTGGAACACCGGGGACACATATTCATGTATAAAAGACGTACAAAAGTGCATTTTGCATGATAGGTCCCCTTTAAACATTATAGCCTTTTTTTTGTTTTACCGTGCAAAGATTGTTTTTTCTCATAACAGTTGTTGCACAAAACATATAGTGTGACCACAAGATGTAACTATTGCTGCATAATTTGAAAAAAACCTAATTGTGATCATTTTGATTGATATTGCAAGTGCGAAATTAGAGGGATTGATGATTTCCGTATATAAAATGTCTCATTATTATTATAAAAAATATTTTAAAAAATGATTATCTTGTGATTTCTTAAGAGGATCCGTCCTAAACAATGTTTTATTCAGTCTGTAGAAAATAATTTTTAGGCTGGGATCTCTCTGCAGCTCCACAATACTTCATACAGAATAATATTTTAACACATGTTGCCAAATATTTTGTTTCCTGCGATTGCGTTTTTGCACTAATCCATTTTGCGATTTTCATAAAATGTTGTTATATTGTGCAGCCATAGATTTAAACACATATATTTGACTTAAATGTGTTGGTCTCAGTCACAGGAGAACAACATAAAGGGGAAGGAAATCACTTGAATAGGATGAACTCTGTGAATGTAGTTCACCTGCCCTGTCCAATTGATTGATTGATTGGAAAATAATATATATGCAACACGATCCTCCTAACATATAAAGTCCAACGCAATTTCTACCAAGGACCCAGGTAATCAATTGGAGGATTATACAGAAACACGATCCAAGCCGTGCTGCCGTCCACTCAGCGGAGCTATAACCGAATGCCTTGCTCATATTCAACATACAATTACACTAATGACACCCCCACTCTGCCCCTGCATCACAATATAACAGATTCATCACGGTAATTAGACAGCTTGGGCTCTATTTGTGCATTTGGGTGGCACTCGGTCGACAGAGCACCTTAGTTTGATGGTTCCACACATGAATTAATCATAACCTGAGCCTATCCATATTTTATCAAACGTCCTCATCAATAATAGACGCTGCTCCCCCCTGGTAGGGCCAGAGAGGGTAAAAGTACACACTAATTTACTCAAGTAGAAGTACAGATACTCGTGTTTAAAAATAATCAAAAGTAGAAGTACTGACTAAACTTCTTTACTCAAGTAAAAGTAAAGAGGGCTTTGAAATGTACTTCAGTAAAAAGTACCCATAACTAGCAGCTGTTTTAAAGAGTACCTGACCTCCCTTTATATTAATAGAACAATAATGTCATTGTTAGCTAATGAATGTTTCCATGCTGAACAACGGCAACATGACAACGTTTTCATTGGTCCCTCTTCTTTAGAGAAGACCAGGAAATGATGGATACACGGATCGTGTTCAAATCAATAGGCACGCAATGACTCTAAATAATAATGATCACGCCACCAAACACACATTCAAACTAAAGGAACCAGCCTGTTTGGAAAATGTAAGAAGTAGAAAGTACAGGTATTTGTGTTCAACATGTAAGAAGTAGAAAGTACAGGTATTTGTGTTCAAAATGTAAGAAGTAGAAAGTACAGGTATTTGCGTTCAAAATGTAAGAAGTAGAAAGTACAGGTATTTGTGTTCAAAATGTAAGAAGTAGAAAGTACAGGTATTTGAGTTAGAAATGTAAGAAGTCAAAGTAAAGTACTTTACTCCACTACTTATTTTTCTGACGACTTTGATACCAGAAAAATGTACTTGCGTACAGTATTGAAGTATTTGTACTCCACTACTTCCCACCTCTGCCCTACTTCCCTCACCTAATAGGGGCCGTCTCGTCTCCCTTGTCCAGCCACTCCTGGGGGGGGATGATGTACATGCACCACAGCCCCCAGTTGTACCCGTGGGCGGCGTTGGCGTACTGCTGCACCTCGAACGTGTTGTACTTGATGTTGTCAATGGCGGGCAGGATGATGCGCGTGTGATCCTCCTTCATCCGGGTCAGGATGGGTTCAGCCCTTTGGACAGGAAGAGAAACCGGGGGTCAGAGAGAGGCATGTATTGTTAGAGAAATCTCACTCGTCACCAGCTTGAGCTTCAATTTCTGGATCCATGTATTTCTGATCCTCTCCAGAATGGAAGTAGTCATCACATACAGAGCATCAACTAGTTCCTGAACAGTGTCCTTCAGATGTTGATATCCAAGAGAGGGAGTTACACAGTCACAAGATGGAGGAATAGAAAGCAGTATTCAATGTTTACTTCAGATTAGCTCCACGTCAGAAATGAGCATGCTTGTCATATGTCTCTCTCCATAGAGGCTGAATCATCATGTTAATCACATAGCTATCATATGCCTAAAACAGTCCTGATGCTCTTCTAGGTAATCATACATCCTGCCATGTACACAGCTACAGTTGGGACACCTTTGTTATCATGTGTACTCTGATATTGGACAGAGTACATTCACTATGTTCCCAACATGTATGCAGGAGCTTCATCGGACGGTTACAAAAGGTGAAAAGAGAGACAGAGTGAGGGGAACAGCGGGAAAGTGATGCGAAAGCAGTTTGCAGTGACACATTTCAATTCGTTTTTATCCAAGGCAACTGACAATAAGTGCATCCAACCATGAAGAGCTCACAAAAGAAAGAATCCTGCAAGTACATTAGCTATCAATAGCCTTTGTAAAGTGCAACTGCATTGGCTTCACATGAGCCACACATTTGGATCTGTACACAAGTCTGCTACTTAAGTATTAACACTGCAACATCTTAGAATGAATAAATCAAGTCATGGATGACCGGATGGGTGATGTAGTGAATTTAAATGTATAATAATAACTGTGAATGTGCAGGAAATCAACCTCAATATATTGTAAACAGTTGGTGGAAGAAGTAGAGGATCTTTTACTCAAGTAAAAGTAGCAATAACACGTACATATAGTCAGTTAAAAGTCCTGCAACAATCAACATCTTTTGTACAAATCTAAAAGTATTGGCATAAATATAGAATAAAACACCATAAAAAAAGGGATTTGTATGTGAGAGTGGTCGCGTTAACCGAATATTCTAGAACAAATTCAGAACAAATTATTAGAACAAACTCAGAACAGCGCCAAAGCTTCGATTAATTTAGTTTATTTGTTTATTCTACACATGGAAGTTATTTTAAAACAAAACATGTACACTTTTTTTGAAGAAGAACATCTTATTTTACCCGCCCCTACTTAAACAAATAAATGAAATAATAACAATACAAATTAATAATTAATGATAGAATGTTATTATAAAGTGTTGCAGGGTACATTTATAGGAACTGAAATGATGGACTCAAGCATTAAGAGACGGCATGTAAGGGTTTGATGTTATCTAGGCTGCTGCATACTGTAACCACTTCCTCTCTTAACCACACAGTCAAATACATATTATAGATGTAACTTTACAACATCAGTATATATGTATATATAACTTTATAATACTCTTGACCTAGTAAATAGACGGACGTCCAGGACTGTTTGTGACTAGTTCTTAGTGATTACTCTTCTCTATTTTACCCTTTCACAGAGCTGGTGCTAAAATGCTCCATGAACTAAGAAAAACATCTTTATTAGAGTGTTCAATTACTCGCTGACAGGCCGATCATTTTGAAGTGTTTCACCCACGTTGACCTACTCTTAGCATTAATGTGTTTTAAGAATATGTTTTCCACTTGATGTGCTCTGAAAGAAAGCGTGTTAGCAAAAGAAGAGAGAAAGAGAAACTAAGTTACATCCCTTCAGAGGGAAAAGAGAGTGGATATTTTCCCAGGAGCAGACTAAGCCTCTATTTTAACTTGATGTGTTTCGCTTTATCAGGTTTTACCTCTTATCAAGTCTCTCAGCGGGATAAGTGTCACATTTTGACATTTCGTTTCCATGAGCAGGAGATATAAAATATGATATATTTGTTGTTCCGCAGAAAATTCACATCATAAACAGTAAAAAGGGGGAAGTGGATCCTGGCAGTCGCTTTGAATGTTGAATAAATGCTGATTCGACAGACTGCCTCGTCGCTGGCAACCCGTGTAAATGTAGCGCCGGGTTGAAGTCGAGACGACATCTGCAGTCATCCATGGCATCGCTTTATAAAATATAAAGTAAATACCTCTCTGTTTAGTGTGTTTCAAAGCAGTGGTGGAAAGGGATGAATTACATTTACTCTTTGATACTTTATTCTTCCGCTCCACTAACGCACAAACTAAACTAACTATCATTTTACATTATACATTCAGATTGTAACTAATACTTAATATGAATCAACTAAAAATTCAACATTTATACATCATTACAAGTCAAGATATCCGGTGACAGTATATAACGCTTCTCTTGGCTAGCGCTCCAACACATTGTACGTGATAGGCTAAGGGGCGGGACATCTCTAAGCGGTAGACCAATCACAACAGAGCCGGCCAGCTAACCAATCAGAGCAGACAGGGCTCTGGTTTCAGACAGAGGGTGAAAAGAGGTGCTGCAGCACAGGCAGTATGAGAAAAATAAAGAGCTTTTTGAACATTAAAGCAAGGAGACATGTCCCAGTAGAGACACTACATACTGATATACACCTGAACATCATCAGGAGAGGACTCTTTAAAGTAGAGACACTACATACTGATATACACCTGAACATGAGCAGGAGAGGACTCTTTAAAGTAGAGACACTACATACCGATATACACCTGAACATCATCAGGAGAGGACTCTTTAAAGTAGAGACACTACATACTGATATACACCTGAACACAGGGGCGGACTGGCCATCGGGACGTTCGGGACGAATCCCGATGGGCCGGTACTGAAGTGGGCCGGTCGGACGATGTGGGCCGCTCGGATAAGTCACTAGCACCCCCCCCCCCCCCCGTAGACAATTTCCTCGCGGTATATACTTGCGGCACCGAGGTGGGCCGCTCGGATAAGTCACTAGCACCCCCCCCGTTAGTATTTTACCGAGGTGGGCCGGCGGTACCGAAGTGGGCCGGTCGAGAGTCCCGGGCTGATTTGTAGTCCCAGTCCGCCCCTGCCTGAACATCAGCAGGAGAGGACTCTTTAAAGTAGAGACACTACATACTGATATACACCTGAACATCAGCAGGAGATGACTCTTTAAAGTAGAGACACTACATACTGATATACACCTGAACATCAGCAGGAGAGGACTCTTTAAAGTAGAGACACATACTGATATACACCTGGACATCAGCAGGAGAGGACTCTTTAAAGTAGAGACACTACATACTGATATACACCTGGACATCAGCAGGAGAGGACTCTTTAAAGTAGAGACACTACATACTGATATACACCTGGACATCAGCAGGAGAGGACTCTTTAAAGTTGAGGCACTACATACTGATATACACCTGAAAATGAGCCCCATATTTCCTCTTTAAGAACCAAAACTTAAGAGCCATCTTGAAGGACTCCAGATTGTTGGTGCCCTTGCCACTGGATGGGGTTTTTGTCGATGCCACACACAGTTAACTCCCCTTCTATTTAAAGCTTTGGCCGAGGGCATCATGGTCTCTGGATCCACAGAAAGACGCCCAGACGCTGCTGCCACTGGCTACATTTTCATAATCTTCTTATGCTGAGAGATCATCTCCACCACATCTTCAAAGCAACTCTTCATACGCTCAATTTGTCACATGATACACTTCTAAATGTATGTGGAAAAAATAGGCTCCAATTATAAAATGATAGCAGAACACTCCCACTCTCCAACTGTCTCTCGATCCTCCTTTTTCACCCATTCTCCCTGCCTCACCCTGATCCCTTCCCTTTCTCTCCCTCCATCTACTTCTCCTCAAAAAGGGAAACCCATTCATCTTCCAAAAGCTAAATTACTGCTTATCACATGAAGGCAGGGGACAGAGAGTACAGAGGGAATGGATCCAAATTGAACAATATGGGATGTCAGTCAAATGTGGAGCAGTACTTAGAAAAATAATTTCATAACATTGGAGTTTTTAGAAGAGCCGCCATTCTGAGAAACCAATAATGTTGGTGTCAATAACCTCCAGTTGGTGGTCTTAATAAGGCAAACAACCAATATGTGCAATAGACAAACCATTGATAAAAGCACAAGTACACACATCACCATTAATACATTTACACACTTTTGGAATATTATGTGTCCCAGTAGAGACACTACATACTGATATTAAGCTGGATATTAGCATATTATGTCCTTTTTAAGTCAAGAGGATCTGAGTTCTCTAGCTGACCAAAAAAAACAAACCAAAATAGTAAATAGCCGTTTTCACACATCACCATATAAGATGTACAGATCAGTCTACGCAACATTAAAATAGATCTGACATTTAAACTTGAAAACTTTCAGTAGATAAATCACCAAGTGTTTTTTTCTTCTTCACGATGCAATACAGTTCATTATCTTTAAAATAACCTGATGAAAAAGACAGTGTAAGCAACCTTTGCATGCTTGTCAAAAGCACTTGATTCTGTGCTTTGATAAAGACTTTAAACCTTCAGACAGGCTCATCTAATGAAGCGTTGTTCCTGACATGATTAGTTTGTCGTGATGCGCTGTAAAACTCCTTCTACACTCCCTCACCTTCAGAAACCCTCCCTGCCATTCATCTCCCCGCGTCCTTGAGAACCCTTAAATAAATAAATAAATAAATAAAACCCCGTGCCAGCAGTTCCTGTTCCTCCGGGATCTGAGAGCTGATAAGATATAGTCGCTGTGGAAACGAGGACACATCTGCTTTTGACAGATGAGCCCATGTCATTCCTCTTCCTGTATCTGCCATTTCATCTGCATAACACTCAGAGCGTTATTCATCCCCATCGACCCAAATCTTTCCCCCTTCCAGCGATGACTCATCCAATATTATGAATACATGCTGACAACCTCCACTGCCATTTATTGTAGCGCTTCATATTGAAACTCCAGCTCTGATTTATGAACTCTTCATGGATTACTGTTTGTCTTTCATAATAGCCCGTATCTTTGTGGAG